ATTGCGCGGCATTGGAACCCGTCGATGTCGATCTCTTGGTACTGAGAGCAGCCTATTTTTTATTAGACCGATTATTCACATTGGACGTAGGGCCTCAAGCATCATGGAGGCAGAGCAGTTGTGATTGTGAGTATGCTGCTTTTATGTGGATCGATATTGGGCAAACAATATCGACAATTGTCGACTTCGTGTGTACGTGGATAGCTCCCAGAGCTTAAGTTTCTCAAAACTTATAGCGCTTTATCCTACTGAGGCTGAACAAATAAGATGAAAAGCAGTGTGGTCATGTTATGTATATATGTATCTATCTACCGATACCTATAAGTATCAACTTGATTTGTAAACGATCAGTAATTCACACCTTTGAATGCAGAGTCTTCAAACATTACAAGAGTTAAGAGGAGAGATGAGAACGTAGCCGCTAAGGTAATAGTCGATATTAGCAGGGAAGGTAGTAAAAATGAGGAGAGCGCACAAGAGCTTTCAACAAACGTTATGGCGAAGGATAGATTTGCAAAGAATCATTCCATTTATGTTATACTCAGGATTTAGGTGATGCTCTCTGTTATGGTTGTAAAGCAAACTCCATTGGCTGATCAGGTCAGCCTTCGCTGGCGGGGAAGATCTCCTACTTTTGCAAGAGCGACAACAGTGTTCATAATCTTTAGTTATAGCTGCCATGGGTGAACCAGTATAACACCATCAACTGAAACGAACAGGATAGAGTAGCCTGGGAGACTAAGGCAAGACGTAGCCGCCCTTTGATGAGTCGATCGTCCTCTCATCCTCTATGCGCTTTTTTCCTCGCTCGCGCTTCCCACCGCCTGTTGTGAACAAAGTCGCTGTAGTCGGGATAGCTTCATCATGATGATACACTTTTAACACCTTTGGTTAGCTCTGAGTGTTACACTTCGACCTTCTCTTCATTTAGTGGTCATATCATAAACAGGAATATGAGGGCAAAAACTGCGGTGAAGATTCATCTCACTTCCGAAGTTCATATCTCTATGATAGTATCGATTTTTACCCTAGCGATTCGTTTGTCTGTATTCTAAAATCGATACCCTCGACACCCGACGCCTTAAACCGCATTTTTACAATGTAGAAGGTGTAGCCGAGGAAGGCGTTCAGCAAAGACATGGAGTGCTTTGAAGGGAAGAAACTGAAGGATTAATTGAAAGTAGAACAGATAATGTGGGCTGATAGCGACACAGAAACTGTTAAAAGGGCAGAGTGATTAAGAGATTGTATCAGTCTGGTTGAAAAGCCCTCTTGAACAATCAAGGCGAACGAGAATCTCTAAGATGAGGCGCAAGTGTCGTATGGTAGTGGGATGTACTTTTTCCAGAGTGGAGGTAGTGTAGAGGTAAAAGGCATGCTATCACACACGCATGGCTCGCTGCTTCGAACCGAACCGATTCTCGCCAAGGCCGACCAAGCCTTCCAACTTTCCGGGGTCGATCACATGGTAACAATTTTTTTCGAAGGATAGAATTTCCGATTATATCGGCAGGCTGCCTATAGGCCACATACGCATTCAAGCCGCCACTATAGTTTTGGATACGAGTCAAATACGGGGCGCATTCTAAAACATTATCGGTAACACCAAAAGGCTACCCTTCATCATCTATATATGTTTTGTGGATCGTAGGTGAGGAATACCGAGTACTGTGAGGACGAAATAAGGAAAGGCAGTTGGTTCTGAGCGAGAATTCCTTCAAGGCACAGTTAGCTATAACTTATGAGTTAGTATTCTTATGTGCTATGACTGACACAGGAGGCTGTGTTTTCCAGGCAGCATTTAGCCTGGCGAAACCTTGATATCCTCGATGTTTTTGTGAGATGATCTTTTACCGAGTACATAGGCAATTTTCGTTTGTATCTTATCTATATGTATCATTTGTATCTTAAGGCTTTAGACTTTATCCTTTATCCCTCCGCTGCAGTGTGTGACCTTCTGGGTCTTTCTTTGCCCGAAGAGGGCGCATCAGACTGCCAGGTCGTGGGGTTTAGCCAGGTTAAAGGCACAGTTTACGGTTTAAATGACTCCACAGATGTCTCCCCTGGATGAACCTGTTACCCCTGAGGATAGCTTAGGGGACACTGTCGGGTGGAAAAACAGTCAACATAGCGCGTAGTAAGGAGGATTCCCGTACCGGCTCAGCCGATGTACACACCCAAGGCGGTAGAGGTTCACCACCGGGACCCACACCCTGCACGCAGGCAGTGTATTGCAGCCAGCTGTAGCGATGTCACGCGCATTCGAACACCTCGTCCATATAACCCTCCCGTGCAGCTTTTCTCCTGTAATTTTCTCGCCCAATCCCTACTTTTACTCCTTTTTTTTGAAGCCTTATTTTTCTCTAAATACGCCGATTCTCGCAATCTCCCCGTCACCTTTGCAGTATTTATTCATTTATCCAAAATAAGCGCAGTTTCTGAATCTGTACCAAAAACTTCACCGCAGGAAATGGTGTGTCAGGTGTAAAGAACCACCACTACTGTGCAAACATTTAAAACTTTGGTTCGGTAGCTGTGCTGGAAATTGGAAGGATGGCAGCCCCACCCCCCTTGCTTGAGTCCCCTTGTTTGTCCGCCTGTGCTCGTGGCTGCAGTCGTTCCTTCTTGCAGTCTTTAGTTGAGCACAGCAACCCAAGTGGTTTAGGTATATACTATACACAAAGCGCTCGCGTCTATCTGTCTGCCCGTTCAAAAATGCGATACTATATTACCTGAAGAAGCACCTGTATAAGTGGTGTCAAGTGAGAGATTGGTTGGGCGTAAGGCTAGATCATAAAGGCTTGTGTGAGCTCTGCGGAGCTCCGCCCACAGGCGCGGAACGTGCATACGAGTGAGCAGTGTCATGTGAAGAATTTTTAAACATGTTTCATAACATCTCAGGAAAAAGTGAGCAAAAGTGAGGAGTAAGTCAACAAATGAAATAAAGGAGACTTAACTAACGAAGGTGGGCGGAGCGAATCACAGTGGAAAGTAGAAGTAAGCAGGGCCTCATGCGCGCTGGGCATACGTGAACATATGGAAGTTCCGCCCAACATGGGTCCGGTGCATTTATATCTTAGGTTCCTTTGTTGAAATCAATGACTTTGTTCAAAATAATCTGAGACGCGGGAAAAAAGTGGTTGAAGGTAACAGAAGGGATGTGGCCAAATTCTTGAAGGGCGGGTTTGCAACAGGCTAGGCAGGCTCGAGATCGAAAATTCAAGACTCCGTTTAAACGTTCTAGAAAGGTGTAAAAAAGCGGCTGTAGGAATTAGAAGAATGTGGCAAGGTTCCTGGCCTGGGCGGGGCTATGACCAAAATTTCTCATCTTTATGTGAAGACGGTTCTTAACTATCCAAAAGCGTTCTATGCAGGGTCATCTACATTAATTATTGCCTATGAAATGATCATTACAACATACTATACACAAAGAATTCGTTTTTGTCTGCCTATCTGTCTCGGAACTCGGTATTATCTGGGGAAGTTTAGTCAACTTTGAGATGGCTCGGGTTTTGGGTAAGATCAACAGAGCACATATGAGCTCGAGGGGACGCCGCTCACAAGGGGTGAAATACCGGATGGGCGGTGCCGAAAGAAAAACTTCATCGTTTCGCTTCAAAGAGCCCACGCCGAGAAAATTATCAATGGCTAGGTATAGGTCAACGAATCGGACAAGAGGACGGGTCCGCGCAGGGAGAGAGCGGTAACAAACTTTCTACAAGAACTCATAACCCACCACAGCCTGTTGATAGATTTCCGGAGTGTTTAGCTCCAATCGAAAAAGACTCTCTGTTCGACGCGTTCCTTGCGGTGACGCACGCGTTAGTTTGCCGAGACCAAATAGTGTATAAATTATTGAGTTCTGGAATAAGGACAAGAGTTCACGCAAGGAAATATCCGCCTATCAAAAGAGAGGCAATCTGTAGCCTTGCCACATGATTTCCTCACTACCATCAGATGTCGATTTGGATGGTCAAAATCTCGTCAAAGTTTTCTACTGCCCGACAAAATTTTCTGTCAGGGCTTTCATCTTCTTTTTCGTCGAAATTTTTATTAATAACTATGAATATGGATACATTTCAGCGGCAGGTCTGCAGGTCCTCACGACCAAGAAAGGGCGACCATAGCTTCATTTGACCCAAAGTGGCCATAACTCCGATGGTGAAGACCCAGCATTGGCCCTGACAAGGCAGTGTTGAGATTCCAATAAGAAGTTTGGTAAAACAGCAATAAAACAGCCGTAGTGCTTCGCACACTAGTCTCAGAGGTCTCGGGCGCAGGACAACCAGTGAGAGGGCGAAGAAACCTCGGGTTGCGCAGGATGCTTCGGGGTTGGACCACAACAGCATTCTCTCTACACGACACAAAGACTGTTTCTCACCTTATACCTACAACGCATTTCCTTCACTGAAGGTTCTCTTTCACTGAAGGATCCCAGCCCGTAGGTGATGAGGCTACCTAGGGCGCCCTCAGGTGGGTGGCGGATAGGAGAAGTAATCGTCGATCGAAAGTCGCCAGTACTGGCCCAAAGACGCAGGTGGACTCAGAGGATGGACTCCCTGATTCTGCTAAGCTGGTTGATATACCTTCTGTTTCTCGCAGGCGTGTCCAGGCATACGCGTGTGGAAAGTCTGTGGGTGCAGTTCGTATCCTGCCCATCGACTCAACCGAAAGCTTGCATTCGAGTGACTGGGAACTATGTGGGAGACGATTTGGTCTGCCTCCGAAAACAAAGCCCTCCGTCCAAAGCACGGGATGGTCTGGCAAGCCCCCGGAGTCAACCCAGCCCCCACGTCAGAGCCTGTCAAACTACTCGTGGGTATCCATATGCTTAAAATAGTGATATAAATGTGCCTCATTCATCTGTACCCGAGGGAGATCCAATACGGCAGCGTAGAGTGGGACCACTCGGGAGAGGTTTCTGAATTTTTAGAGCCATTATAGGTCTCCCAAAATTAAAAGACCTAGTGACGATCTTTACTTCCAACGCACGGACGCTTTCAACAGACGTCATCGGAATTACCAAGACGAGAAGGCGTCGCCCTCTGCATGCTGTATTTGAGACCGGAATGCGGCACAGGTGCCCTCGTCAATACGCACATGGCCATGACCATCGATTCGTACGAAAGCTCAACAACCTGTATCGGACGTTTGCGATCAAGAAGATGTGGCTCAACCCCAGCTCTAACCATCTTCACCAACATCCAGCTATGAAGAAGAGGAGTTGGAAGTGTTTGATATTGATCTAGAGAGGATCTACAGAGTGGACCACATTTTCTTCAAGGTCATCGTCGGTGATTTCAACGCTAGGATTGGCCCTAAAGAAACGACTGAGGAGCTCCACTCCGAGACTCGCGGATTGGAGTGGAGTGAGCAGGGTGTTGGCTGTCCGAGTCTATCATGTCGATCCACACCATCCATAGTAACTCATAATTCCAGAAGCCCTCTCATTTGCGATGGGTATGGGTGTCACCTGGTGGACAGTTCCATAATGAAATATTGCTCGTAAATGGGAATATTCCGCTATCGACAACATCGATGAAGAATACAACCGGCTCATCGAAAATTTTCTCGATAGTGCTTGGAAAGCAGAGAGTTTACAAGTAGTCAAGAGACGACTTTCTTCGAAGACTCTCGAGCTGTTACGCAAGCGTGGAATCGCACGAGCTGCAGGCAACTAACAAACGTCTGAACTTGCGAAGCCATGCACAGGAGCGATAAAGGAAGATTGGGATGAGAGAAGAGCAGCAGTTATGGACGAAGCCGCCGAGGCCGGAAAGAGCACTCGCAAAGCCCGACGGAGCTTCGGAAAAGGTCATCTACGGCTTCTACTCGGATTTCTTCGACAGCCACATCTACTTGCCTACCCTCCGTCTTAGGCAAGACGACTATATCGTTCCTTCGGTTCTTCCTTCTAAAATTAGACGTGCCATCACGTCGGTGAAAAATTGTACGGCGTCGGGTCCCGATAGGGTCAAACCAAAACATCTGAAGAGACTTCCAATAATTATTGTCAGGACTCTGGCTAGGCTTTTCTAGCGGTATCTTCCGGAATGCAAAGCGCCCACGTCGTGAAAAACTAGCAAGACTGTGTTGCTGTATAAAATGGAAGATTCAGAAGATATCGGCAATTATCGCCCAATATGCCTGCTGTCTGTAATCTACAAGCTTTTCACTCGTGTTATCCTAAGCAGGATTGGCAAAATATTAGGTGAGAATGCCATGCGAGCAAGCAGGGTTTAGAGAGTGTTCAGCACAATCGATCATATCCACACTGTAACAAGTCTCATCTAAGTATCGCGAAAGTATACAATGCCGCTATGTCTTGCTTTCATCGATTCGAAGAAAGCCTTCGTTACCGTTGAGACAGGAGCGTTAATTGTGCCCTGTGCTACCAGGGTGTTCCTGCTCAATATACAAGGATGCTTTGTGAGCTCTACGACAATTTCACCCCTGGGATTTCACCATTCTACGAGTAGTCATTGTCAACGTGAAGAGAGGTGCCCGGTAAGGCGATACCATTTCGCCACAACTTTTCAGTGCAGCTCTCGGAAGCATCATGCATCATTCGGAATGAGAAGACTCGGGAGTGGAGGTCGACGGCCGCTATTTACATCACTTCCGCTTTACAGACGACATCGTGCTTACAATACCGAACATCGAGCAGGCGAAACGAATGCTGTCCGAGTTTGACAGTGCCTGTGGAAAGATCGGCTTGGCACTGAACATAACGAAGACGATGTTCATGGGAAACGGGTTAGAACCTGATGCTCCTTTCACGCTGAACGGAAGGAGTATCTCTGTTTGGCTGCTTTCATACTCCGCCGACCGGCCGGCATGCCAGCCGAGGCAGTGCTAAGGGGAAGCAGGGAGGCAGACGGTCCGGCAGCCCTTCGAAGGGCTGTAAACAGAGAGAGACAAAATCGAAAACAATTTGTACAAACCCCTTGTTGTTTGGTTTTTAACCTTGTACTTCTTTGTTTTCAGCCCTTCACCGGCCGTTTGCCTCTCTCCTCCCCCCTAGCACTGCCTCGGCTCTCACGCTGGCCGGCGGAGTATGAAAGCAGCCAATGCTCTAGCTATGTGAGTCCAGGTCAAGGATCAATGAAGTCAACATGATGAACGACCTAGCTCGGGAGCTATGCAGAAGGAAACGCGCTGCTCGGGGACTATTTAAGAATATCGAAGGAGCAGCGAGGAAGACAAAGATCATCCAACTCCGCGCTCACCTTTTTGACCCTGCAGTCCTTCCTGCTGTGACGTATGCATCGGAGACTTGAACACGGTTTATCGGACACGTTATGCGATACTGTGATGACCGTTGGAGATGGTTACTGAGCGTGTCCCTTGAGACATTGAGCGAGCAACAGTACAGCCCCCAGCGCCGCGAACAAACTTCTTCACGAAAGCCATGAACAATGGGAATATCTCTGTAGCGATTCACTGGATCACATTGCGTGTGGCTGGGACGAAAGGAGACCATACGCAAAAATCAATCATTAACGGTACGACAGGTGATACAGGTGATTCCTTTCTGCATTATTGCCTACGTGAAGTTTGAGAAAGCTTGTTCAGCCTGTAGGAGTAGTCATGACATCAATGTAAACGGAAGACCATTAGTCATCATACCAGCTTTCATTAGTTTTACACTTAGCCTTCTGATCAGCGGAACGATACCACCTTCTTCCATAAGATAGGAGTGTGAGTTGATTCCCCCCCCCCGTTTGGTGACGCACCTGAATTTCTGATAGCTGTTGAATTCTCTGCATTCGGTATTAACCTCGACAACTTTGAGACCCATTCATGATCGCAAGATCCCCATTCAAATGAATAAAAAGGGCTAGGCCATAAAACATAGCTCAGCTTTTCAGGCTCCTATGTCATGTCTGGTGGCATACATTCCTTTCCTATAGTTCACCAAGTTCTGCTTATGTCACATAACTTGTTGTTCTGCGCTTTATAGTGCTTTTACCCCACAATCCGGCGCGTGCTACAGAGAGCTTCTATTACACAATCCGGTAAGGATTGTGTAAACGAAGCTGCCTCAAGCGCAAAACAAGGGGCACACATTTCACCTCGTGGCTGCTGCAGCTTTCTCTTAGTTTACTGAGAGCTGTTCAATTTTTCCAATGAATCTCATGGGACACTCACTTCGCCTCGCTCATGGTTAAGAATTTTCTGGCATACCCAAGTTTGCACACGGTAGTAATTCATTGGAAGAAACCAGACTAGAGTAGTTGGTTGGTTCGCATTGACACTGATTATTCGATCGCAATGGAATGCCGCGAGGGTCGCAAAGCTTATGAGTGAAGGAACATTGTAGTTTTGTGCCTTCAGGAAACACGCTGGAAAGAAGCAAAGCCTGGAGCAATTGATGAAACATCTCAGAGTTTTTACGACGAAGATTACACCAAATGAAATGATATAGTATAGCCGCAACAAAAACCCTCGAAAATTGTGTTACCGCTGTCTGCAGAATTACTTCACAATCCTCTGTGAGGACGGCCACACGGACACGAGGGAGAGTAACCCGAAAATAATTCACATTTGTCCATGGCAATCCGGGTACACCTGGTAAGAAAATCAAGAGTCCTATCTGAAACTTGATAATATCATTAGATCAGTCCCTAGCGCGTGATTTCAATGGGCAGGTTGCCAGCGAAGGGAAGATCCAAGGGGGGGGGGACCAACGGAGGCAAAGGAGTGGGACCAGATATTGAAAAAAGCGGAAAAAAGAACGTCTCAAAAGGTGCAGGTCAATGCAATTTTGAGTGTCTAGTTCTAAACGAGTAACGAAGGTGATAGATTAGATTAGTGCGAAGCAGTGAATAAAACGTATAAAATGGCGTATTCAAAGAATCAGAAGGTATCAGAAGTGTTGGACGAGAATGTGATGATGAGGTTGCGTGCAAGGGATATTTGGAAGAGCTGTTAAAATATGCACTCCACTTCATGCAGCTGACTGCGGTAAGTTTTCCGAGTGCGAAGTGTAGGTTCCGCTGCGTATGGTGCAACCTGTATAGCCCTTACAACGCTTATGTCTTCGTCCGCGCTGAGCCGATTTTAGAACTCTTACTACCCCCTAGGTTGATCGTTTTTCGACCCGACACCGTCACTTAGTCTATTCCTTTCTAGGAATGATGGTTTCATCATGAAGAAGAAATTTCGGAAACCGTTCCAAATGTGAACTGTCCCTCTGACCTGGTTACAGCCCACGACCTGGCAGTCTGGTGCACCTTCTTTGCGCTAAGGGAGACTCGGAAGGTCACATGCAGCAGCGGATGGAGACAAACGAAAATCGTCTATCTACATGGTAGAAGATCATTTCTCGAAAGTATCAAGGATATAGAGGCTTCGCCCGGCTAATTGCCGCCTGGAAAGCGCAGCCCCCGTTTCAGTCCTCGCATCGAGCTACGCAAGAAGCGGAGAACCCAATGGTGTAAGCTACTCCGATAATCAGAGTAAAAAAGATTTGAGGTAGAGACAGGTATCCAGAGGAAACAAAAAAGCCTAGTCTCGGAACGTTTAAGTCCAATGAATTCAAGGCAGAAAAAACAGCTTGCAGGCGATTTTGGAGGGAGAGAGCTCTAGCAGACCAAGCTGCATTAAAAGTTTAGGCTCGCCAAGGCAGCCGTAGCAAAGGCAAGGAACATGTAATGTGGACGTCTTGTTCTATGTCTATGTCGGTCGACTATTATTGATTGCTAGATTACCAAGGAAGGATCTCGAGATAAAGTAGCCGTTTGGAATAAGATTGACACTGCTGGACTGTTTGAGTGCTGATTTCGAACCTGTTTTCCAAACTTGCCATCGATTCTCTGAATGGATTTATGAGGTGATTTCAAGTAAGATTTAACATCCATCCAAATTACATGGATTTACCAGGTTCTGCAGCGGTGTCTTGGAGCGGTAGTAGCAGTGACGCTTCATGTGCGAGAGACCAAAGTTCGGAATCACATTATATTGAATTTTCCCTCGGATCATATAAATTTCTTTGTTGTTGATTTGATCGCGTTTCACGACCTTTTGGTGCTCGTGGTGACAATTTCTAGCTCGGAACACACAATTTCTAACATATGTATATCATTTCAATTTCTTTGCACGTTTGTACACGCTATATTCAGAGTGGGGCATGTGCGGTGTGGTGACAGGTGACGCATATCGTACACGGATAGTCCAGAGATCGCATTCACAGATTATCCTTTAGGCCAACCGAACCTCCCATTCCTTCGGGGTCGTGGGGCCAGACAAGTCTAGATAGTATATAGCACTGACTTGTATACTGGCACCACGAATCATTGCAAAAGCGAACATGCGAAAAAAATTAAAGCGATATTGCATATTTTAGGGCGAAATTATCACCACAAGCATCAAAGGTCGTAACTCGGGATAAGATCCACATCAAAGGAATTCTTAGCCTACAAGGAAAAATTCGCTATAGGGCAAAATCTTGTACCCAACAAAACCCGAACCCTAGTGTCTCACACATGAAGCGTTTCTCCTGTTCCTACTCCGAGCCACTGCTGAGGAGCCTCCCACATCCACGTAATTTGAATTCCCGTATGTTAAGCCACCTTATAACTCCATTCAGAGAAACTTTCAGCGAATTCGGGAAGCAGATTCGAGAAAAGCATCCGAACTGGTTAGTCAGGCCTCCACCCCATCCATGTGACTCTTTGTTGTCTGAGCGTCACACCTCTGAAAGGAACGAAAAAAGGGATACACTTGAAAACAAGTATTTATTGCTCTAATTGACTGATGTTGACCAACACGGCAGCAGAGGAGACCTCACGCAGCGCCATCACTTGCGAACTGTGAACTCTCTTTGCTAGAGATAGTATCCTTACGAGTACACAGAAAATTATACAGCAAATCAGGTGTGCGAACTTTTGTACGATCACACCTAGTTAAGTATTCCAAGCTCCTAAGCGCGAAGCGACCTTAATTGAGTGCGAAGACTGCATGATCATTGGACTGCCTGCATATCGTTGGACAGAATTATAGGTTATTAATTGTTGACAACAACGTCAGCAAGAAAGAGAAGCTTCTATAGAAAACAAAACTCACAAACAATTAGAAATGGAAAGAAAGACTAGTTACGCCATTGCACATTTTTTACACGGAACATCGCTAGACTTCAAGCTACATTGAAGAAAGTTCATCGTGAACTATTGTTAATACAGGCGTGTGAGTGCCACTGCTGACTCTTGAAAGATTTTAATGTATTCTAGAGACACAATTTGCTGTTTGCAAAAAATTCACAGAATGTCCCTTTTTTATACTGCAGGAACTTTGACCAGAAATACAATAAATTCACCAACTTTGCAAAGAAATAAAACCATAGAAACCAGTGATGTGTCATTTTCATTCTTTTTTTCTATTGAAACTTTACCTGCTTACTGTCATTATTCTCACCAGTTAATAATCTTTAACCCTTCTGATGTTGATAAAAATCTTCGCCCCAAATCAAGGTCGCTCCACGAAACGACGCTCAATTGGGTGCTACCGTACCAAAATTCCCACACCTCAGCAACTTATGCCTTAGGCTCGATACATATTGCTGCAGAATGGCCAATATCGACGCATATCGCTGCATCGCCTGTTCTTACATGCATACTTCATTATTTTACATTTCTAGGGGTTGAGGCCAAGTAAAGATTAGTTATGAATACTCCGTGGCTCTAGTAACGAGTTGTTATTTATCGGTACCAATTGATCAGAGGAAAAGATCTCAGCAGCTCAGCTCCGTTTACACCTGCTATACTTTCTTGAATTTTGGATGCATCGAGTCTAAAGAAAGTGATTTCCTACAGTTACACAATCGAAAACGTTTCGAATAGGATCGCTGATACTAAATTTCGGAAAGCCTCTTAACAACGACGGTAACGTGCAAATCCGGAAGTTTGGGTGGTGTCTTCTATTCTAGATTCGGCTTTACCCACTTTTCCATCCTCCCAACCTTGAAAGAGTAACTGTAGGCTCTAACTGCGCTGACCTATATTCATATTTTCTTCCACACACCAAAATTTTTCCAGTAGTGTTGTCCTCCCAGTTTTTTACTACCCCATAGTACCTATTTTGAAAATGAATGTAGATTTATGATCATAACTGCCTTTTTGGTACGCACCCTACCTTCAGTGAAGGTTCGAACCCCTACCTCCCACCTCCTTCCTTTCTTTGCTGGCCTTGGTCTACTTTTTTCATGGGTCTGGAAAGTATCGTTGCATTTGAGCACAGGAATCTTTGGCGGCCACCCCTTTTAACCAGAGAAATTCAAATCGCTTTTTTCTCTTCTCTTTTTAACACTGTAACATTCGTCATGAGCTTTCACAGTAGGTCCCTTTCACTTGAGAGCATGTCTCGTCCGCAGTAGGGGAAGTCCGCCTGATTCGGGCATGCTGAACACATTTCAAACTGTGTCTCTCACACACGGCTCACGTGAACCCTGCCCACCTTCCCGTTTCTTTAGCTGCTCAGATGCGGAGCACAATTTCCCACATGGCTGGAGCATATTCCTTCGCATTGCGTAAATCTCCTTAAGCCCATGCTTATCTGAGTACTATGCTTATTCCTTCTCATTCAAACTCAAATTAACTGCTCAATTTTAATAGGGTGCAGTGTAAGGTGGTGAAAAAAAGAAGAAACAGCGATCAAACATGCAAACATACAAACAGGAAATCAACTTCAGGATAACGTACCCTCCTGTAGTACTACATTCATTGTTGAAGAAAACATTCTCATCCACAGCCACATTGTTTGTCTTGGAAAGTTCAACTCCAAACAAAATGGGAATGAAAATTTTTCGCAAGAGCAAAAGTAATTGCAATGGAAAGATTCAGCACATTTCTTACTGGCTTTTCTAGGAGGGATCGGTCTCTACTTCTACTCTTCTCTTTTGTTGGCAGTAAAGAGATCTATTACGTTTCGAGCTCAGTCGTAAAAGTGTCCGGGCTGTTTTGGAGACGGCAAAGTAGTTGTGCAGCCAGGCACAGTAATGTGATGTGACCAACTTTTAGCATTCATAGATAGGATCTTCGATTTGAAAAATTGGAAGACTTTATTCGTAAAGTCAGCCGAAACTATGAGGTGAAGTGCTCATTTGCAAGCACTGGTCCGAAGGAATTCGATCCTGCACGTAATTGAGAATCAGCGGGTGCTGTACTGGAGCACCGCTGAATAAATGTCTTTTCTTTGTTATCAATTGTTGGTCCGTGTTATGATAGCCCAGTATTAGCTAATCACTTGAGTGAACTTTTTCAATCATTCCAAGGCACATGCACATTATGGTTCCATTCAAGCTGCCGGACAAAGGAATTTACGTTTTCGCATCCCAACTTCATGCGCACTTGTCTGGTCGAAGAATCTTCACCAGCCATTATAGAGAAGGAGTGAAAATCGGAGAAATCAATCGAGACGACCACTATAATACGAAGTGGCAACACCTTGCTCACATTCGCCCCTATGTTCATGTTTTACCGGTATGTAGTGGGTATTCATTTCTATGATTTCATGTTTCTTTATTAAAAACCCTTTTGTTTCACTTGTGCTGTTTCCAGGGTGACATACTTTCAACTACATGTGTGTATGAAACTCTTTCCAAGAGTGAGATAACTCTGGTGAGGTTTTAATGAGGTTTTGCTTTTCCAAATCTGGAATCATTAGCTTGCCTCCGAATGATTTCAAATGTCTAGTGCTGTTTGAATGGGCACAGAGGGATGGAAGGCTTGGTTGGTCCAGGCTGATATCAATCGTTTATTAGAACTCGAGACCATGCGTGTGTGATAGTGCACCTCTTGCCATTACAGTACATCCTGAATGCATACAGTTGATTATTGATTGATGAGAAGAAGGTGCTGCTTCACAGATAATGTTATGGATATCATGACACATTTCACTGATTTAGCGAGACCCTTTTGATTTTGTCGATTTGATTTTGATTATTGAGGACAGAGGATATGAGAAAATAAGGAACCACTAAGAGTTGCGCCTACTTGATTTGCTCTATTGAGCAACCCCGATCCCTAGTTTAGATTGCGCTCATGTTGCAATACTCCTGGCGCGAACTCGTAATGCGTAAACTCGTAATTGAAACATAGCAGATCAAAAACTGAATAGTAACAGACAACTTATGCATTAGTATTCCACAATCCTCATAGTTGATGCTTCAGTTTGTTCTAACTTCTTTTTTGCTGCCCTCCTTTTGTTCGTAGCTTCCTCGTACTGATGGCGTATGCCATCGCTTTTTTTCGTGCAATTCCCACAAGGCCAAGAAGCGTCCAGCCTTTTTGAAATTAAAACACGCTATAACTTTTCTGCAAAAATGCCCATCAATCGTAAATATAAGACATATTTCACAACGGCCTTCTGCTTGTACTATATAATTTTTATCCCACAAGTCTGGGTGTGTGGTACAAGAGTTAGATTAGTAATCTTCCTCTTTACGTGGAAAAACACTAGGACCGAGAGATCCTGTTGCTTGTGTATAATGCCCTCCAAAAAATTGCGTGTACCCCGAATTTTCACGATGTCTAGCTTTCACAGAAGGGTTGACTCTAAATCTTTGATTACCTATTCCATCCGTTGAATCTCTTTTCGAATTTTTAACCAGACTTTGTCCTTTTGCGGTTTTTTTCGATGTGATCAAGTCCTCTCCCTCCTTTTTGTCGACCTTTTGCAAACCTTCCATATTTTACTGAGGTTCGTCGTCCTCGTACGCTCCTTTCTTTCTCGGAGGTTTGGTGTCCGTTGCGTCTATGCTCGCTGGTGCTGTTTTGCTTCGTGCTCCCAAGTCGGTTGCGTGCAATGCGATTCCTGGTGTTTCCTTGAATTCTTTTGCATCTTTTCCGAGTCCCTGCCTGTCTCCTGATTGTCTCCTGGACTTAATTCAAAGTGTGGTTAAAATTTTTGTGTGCTCTTGTGTTCCTCATGTTGTAGAGAACGGCGATACTCGCTTAGACGCGACCGTCCTTCGTCTAAAATTTTAAGTTGATTTTCTATGACTGCTTCAGTGGCTGGCTGTCTCATGAGTATCGAGTTTCCATTGTCATCATATTGCGGTTGCGACATTATGGCACTCCAATTATTTTCTGAAACTACTTTCGTACTACCAAGAGAGAATGTAGTCACTGCTTCCTTCTTTCCGAGTAGAATGAAAGTCAAAGTGTCATCAAAATGATGCTCTACTGGCCGCGTGTCAATAGTGTCGTCGTGTAAGCTGCGGTGGAGTGTAAGTATTGTCGTACAGTCCAGTTGCCTTTGCTAACCGAGGGATCGCTCGGAGGAGAAGTCTTATTTGCTATATATATCGTCAGGTACAATTATTGTTCGTAATTTAAGCAAAGTAAAAGTTGTTGGTTGCGCAGCACGTATTTTTGTGTCCAAAGTTGCAAGCTCCCCTACGCACTGATTTCGTACTCTTGAATTTTCTACAATGTGGTCTTGCGGAATTGTCCTGTGTTACTTGTTGGTTTGTCTGTGTTTGTCTGTTTTATGTGTTTGTTTATTCTTATGCGGATCTTGTGCGGGGAATTTTGTACACAGTAGATGTACGGTGAATTTTATCATCTTTCGTCGTTTCGCTACGGTTACTAACTCCACTTTCCAAATTTGTCCATCCCTGCTGCTGCGCAAGGAGCATGTTTGCGCTTTTAAGTGAAGTAGACTAGGATCACTTAACAACACAACTGTCCCTATTCTCGGCTCTAATTGGCGGAGTCGTTGCTTGGATATGAATCGATTATACGTTTCTCTTAGATTCGTAAGGTAGTGCTTTTGCCGCATATCCCAAAAGAGCTCCGGATTCCACAAAAGGATGTTAATGCTTTCTCTACTTCTCAGTTTGTTCCAAGCGTGACACCTTCTACTATGGTTCATAATCTCGAGATTCGGTTCATAATCCAATGGAGTTAAAGTCACCTTGCTCAGAGCTCTGACACGTGAATGGTCGCGAATTTAGTCAAACCTCAACCAGGTTTTTTCTATCAACAAGGTTCCTAAATCGTTCAATGATCGATGTGGCTTCACTTTCAAGGATTTGCACTTTGAAGGGCTCGATGAGGCGTTCATAAGACCCGACCCGTTTATAAGACATAAGGCGTATTGCAGTACCATTCAATCTCATGTCTTGATATAGCATTTTACACTTCTACATTAACTTGTGTTCGATTAGCTTCTCCGTTCAGGATCTCTCCGCTCAGTAGAAAGATGGAAGCGTTGCCTTTAGTTAACAAATTAGGAACTTCTCTTCTTGCAATAAACTGAGGAAGTTTCTAAAAGACATAATTCTCACTAGCTACGAGTGAGTTGATCTCATTACGGTGCGTGTACAAGCATCCGTCACCTTCGACTTTGTTCCGTCTAGCTTATGGCAAATTGCGGCCCCGATTTATACGCTTCTCCGGCGGATCTGTCATTTCTGGGAAAGTATGGAAGAGCCTTGAAAGAACGGCATCTGACCCAGTGTTTCACTGTGTGCCGCACTTGCGGCCTGAGTTTAGGGATTCAGTGTTGCAACTGGTTTGTTACTATCGTGTGTTAGATATCTTGTGGTAATCCCTGCGTATTAATGGTTAGTGCACCCAGTGGGGTATCACCTGTATCATCTGCCTTCTCGCTGATCATTGATCTCCTCGAGCGGGCACCAGTAATGTCTCAATTCGTCTTTGTCACGAGTCAGACCTGTCCAGTGAATCGTAATCGTTCGAGGGACCCAGGACGGAACACTTCTTTTTCGGAGCTTTCGTGAAGGGTCTGACCATCGGGCCGGCGGTCGTACTGGTGTACGTTTCACGTCCCGAGGGATCCAGTCAGTAACAGCCCTGGTCCAGCGGTCATCACTATAACGCATAACGTGTCCGGCCCACCTGATCTTTGATTTTTTACCAGGGAGGGGTAGTCTACTTATCTTGGAACTTTGAATTCAGACCAAGATAAATCGATAGAGTTCTGAATGCTGTTTACAAAAATGGAAATTAAAACTGCAAAATGGTTCTCCTTAAAAAGTTATGGGGGCCCGAATTTTGCTCGACATTAGTATCAATCGGAAATGCGAACTCGTCGCTTCCATATCCAACGCCCAAGTGACCTAGTGGTAGTGGTCTCGCTTCGTATGCGTAAAATGAGGGGTCCCTCCCCGCCATTGTCCGCACTTTTGCAAAGTGTTTTTTCATTTTATCAAAGGCTCTCTAAACGTTTTCTGACATTTCTTTAGACAATTGGTACTGCTGTCGAGCAAAATTCGGGCCCCCATAACCTTTTGAGGAGAATCATTTTGCAGTTCTAATTTCCATTTTCGTTAACAGCATTCAGAACTCTATCGATTTATCTTGGTCTGAATTCAAAGTTCCAAGATAAGTAGACTACCCCTCCCTGGTTAGCGTAAACAACGGACATCCCTGATCTTCGTTTGTTGACGGGGCTCGGAACTCCGGATTTCCTCTTCGAACATCGTCTTCGTTAAGTTCAATCTCAAGCTGAATTTTCCACAAGCGCTGTCGAATTTGGCCAGCATTTGTTCCGCCTGCTCGATGTTGGGTGTTATAAGCACGATGTCGTCTGCAAAGCGGAGGTGATGTAGATAGCGGCCGTCGCTTCCACAGTTCAAATGAAGATGTTCTCGAGAGCGGCATTGAAAAGTTCGGGCGAGATGGTGTTGCCCTGTCGAACCCCTCTCTTCGCGTTGTGATGACCTCTTCATCGAATGGCGAAATCCTGGTCGTGAAAATGTAGAGCTCACAAAGCATGCTCACATATTGAGTAGGAACACATTGGTTGCCCAGGGCCTCAATTACCGCTCCTGTTTCGACGGTATCAGAGGCTTTTTTCAAATTGATAAACGTAAGACATAACGACATTTTGTGCTCTCGCGATACTTCATTGAGTTTTGTGAGAGTGTGAATATGTTCGATTGTACTGAACTCTCTTCGAAACCCTGATTGCTCACACGGTTATTTTCATCTGATGTTTTGCCAATCCTATTTGGGAGGACGCGAGTGAAAAGCTTGTAGATTACAAACAGCAGGCATAATGGGCGATAATTGCTAATATCGTCTGTATCTCCCTTTTTATACAGCAACACAGTCTTGCTAGTTTTCCACGACGTGGGCACTTTGCATCCCGGAAGGTACCGCTAGAGAAGCCTAGCCAGAGTCTTGACAATAATTGGTGGAAGACTCTTCAAATGTTTTGGTTTGATCCTATCGGGACCTGTCGCCGTACAGTTTTTCACCGACGTGATGGCATGTCTAATTTCAGAAGGAAAATTCGAAGGAACGATACTGTGGTCTTGCCTAAGATGGAGGGTAGGCAGGTAGATGTGGCTGTCGAAGAAATACGAGTAGACGCCGTGGATGATCTTCTCCACTGCCCTTCGAGATGCAGTCACTGTTCCGTCAGGGTGTGCAGCTTGTGCGATTCCACGCTTCCGTATCATCTCGAGAGTCTTCAAAGAAGGTTGTCTCTTGGCTGCTTATAGACTCTCTGCTTTCCTATCAACTATCGAGAGAATTTTCGCCGAGCCGGTTGTATTCTTCATCGATGTTGTCGGTAGCGGAATCTTCCCTTTTACTCGCGAGGGAAGCGAAGTGATCCAAGTTAATGGAGGTCCTGGAGCTTTGTTTCCTAGACTTCATAGCACTCTCTCCACTTATTGAGGAGTAGAATCTAGCGCGGAGGAGACGATGGTCAGTCAGGCGAAATCTCCGACTGAAAATGCTGCGGTCTATTCAGTATGGAACTGTCAACCAGGTGACACCCATGCCCATCGCGAATGAGAGGGCTTTTGGAACTATGAGTTACCATGGATGGTGTTGGTCGACATGATAAGCTCGGACAGTCTTCCACCCTGCTCATTCCATTCCATTTTAAAAGTCCCGATGTGGAGCTCTTCAGCCGTTGTTCTAGGGCCAATCTTAGCCCTTAAATCACCGACGATGGCCGTGGAAAAAAGTGAGGCCTTCTTTGTGGATCCTCTACAGATCGATATAGAGCGCTTCTAACTCCTCGTCTTCATAGCTCGATGTTGGTGAGTAGGCAACGAAGATGGTTGAAGCTAGGATTGAGCCACATCTTCTTGATCGCAAACGTCCAGTTCTGGTTGTTGAGCTTTCGTATGAATCGATGTTCATGACCAAGTGCGTATTGACGAGGACACCTACACCGCATTCCAGTCTTAAATACAGCATGCAGCGGGGTTTGCCTTCTCGTCTCGGTATGTCCGATGAAGTCGTACTTGATCTTCCTGGCTTGCATAATCAGATCTTCAATGCACGCTTCCGATGCAAGCGTTCGTGCTCCGAAAGTACAGATCGCCATCTTAGTCCTTCTCCTTTTAGGCAGACTCTGCCGAGCGTTAACGGTCCATAGCGCTGCCGTATCAGAGGCGTATGAATATCCAACGTAGCTTGCCTGGCTTTAACACGTGGGGGGCCTACCCTTAGCCGTGTGGATATGCAGTCGTGCTGCTGAAGTTATATACATATATTTCTCTATATAAATATATAAAATTGATTTTGAAAGCCCCGAGCAAAATTCTATAGAACAGTAGAAAATGTTGGCGAGAGCGTCAGCACTGTGCAAGCCCCGATATCCGATGGCAAGACGAAAGCATGTGGCAGGGCAACAGGTTTCCTCTATTGGTAGGCAGATATTTTCCCAAGCGAATCTTTATCCTTAGTCCAGAACGCAATGATATATACGTTATGTACCGAGACTTGCTGTGTGCAACGTAACGCGTGAGGAACAAATTCAACGGCGACCTCGGGCGTACGGATAAGGGGGGCTCAAACGAGGGAACTGCCACCTCTTTATTTTATCGGCAACTACCTAACCACAGCTTCGAACGCGAAGCGGCGAGCCGGTCAATATGAGCTTTGCATGACTGGAACTTTGCATTGTAGCAAATGATGAAATACCCAAAAAAATTTACAAAAGTCCGGTTTTTTCACGTAAATAAGATCGGTAAAGTGGACACGCCCACACGTTTCACAATCACACCGCGTTGAGGTGGTAGGCCAGCGGAGGGTGCTGCTATTTGTTACACATCATAATCAACATGTTGTTCGCAATTTAAACCCTTCTTAGATCATCTGATGCACAAGCATTTGCTCATCAAAACTTTGCTCATCAAACTTTGCTGATCAAAACTGTCAACTTCTTACCAACTTGCTGCTGAGTCCCATACTTTTTACCTTATGGTTGAATCATTTGATTATTTTTGCGCTAAATTTACATTATCTAATTATATGTGGTCTCTGGTATTAGATTGGTTCCCTTGATCGTGTTTTGGGCTGCACCTACTAGATTCATTATATGTAGAAGGATTTTTCCCTGTAGTTAAAACATTCGCAATCATGTATTTTGATGACTGCACGGTATACTGGGAAGCCTTTCGCGCTACCGTGAACTCTCCGCACAGTCATTTACAAGAACTTCACAGAGCGGCAGCTCTTTTGAAATCTTGTATGCGCTATATTCACATTAAACTGACCGTCAATGGGATGCCCATGCACAAATAATTTCAGTATCGCTCCTTTCCACGTTAATTTCTAGACTGGATAGTGAGGATGTCTTTTCCCTCGGACTATTATTGCATGCCTTTTATACCCTTATCTCATTGGAACGCTCTGTGGCTTTTCTTGCCCGTCTTTTATTGACCTAAAGCTGTTTCGCAGAAACTCTGTAATAGACCCATATTTTTACAGTATCTTCTTATTTGCGATGGGATATTCTATCTTGGCGGTATAATGTCTGTACCCTGTGTTTCCACAGGTGCTGGCGCTGAGAGTAGCGATGTTTTCTTCGGGAATAGAGCGCCTTTAATCTGGCGATATTCAAATCGAATTCACGTTTTTTCACTGTTCATTCAAATTTGTGATCGAATCTCGTTCGATTGAGGATATCAGTGATATCTCACTTTGTTAAATTGTTGACTCTTATAGACTTTTTGGCGTGGTGGAGTTGGTTTAGCTTTTTACAACTATTGGCTTGGGCGGAGGTGGTGTAGAGGTAAGTGCCACACTATCACGCACGCATGAAAACGGGTTCGGATCCCGAATCGACGCCCGATTAGACCAACAAAACCTCCCGTCTCTCCGAGACCGATTAAAATGGTACCAGACTCGTCTCGGATGATAAAAACACTGACTTGTACATCGGCTGGCCACCGGAAATCTTTGTATAGGCCACATGCGCACTCTCCACGCCACGACGAATTGGCATCTGAACGAAAGTCGAGTGCGAGGGCGCATCCCTCAGACGACATCGATTAACGTCCAAAGACTATCCATTTACCCATGAATATCGGGCTTATTTAGCCAGATACACAAAAATTATGGGAGTGAGAGGGGTAGAGTGGAGGGAGAGGAGGGAAGTTTGAGTGATTTTTGAGAGCTCGACTCATCATTTCTGATGGGCGCTTTTGAGTTAGAGGGACTTTTTGGACGGTTAGACGACGAGATACTGAGAAGGAACCGTCGCCGGCGCTGAAGATTCTACTGTATTGTTTTTTGTCTACGAATAAGCTTTGATTTTATTCCACTTGTTCGCTTTGTTTGTTTTTGTTCTACTAGTAAGACTGCTACGACGAACAAATGTTTCACGATCGAGTTCCGTTTTTATTGTTTTTAGGA